GGAGGGAGAGAGAGAGAGAGAGACTCTCTCTCAAGAGATTTGTTGTAAGGAGTTGGCTCTTGTGACTATGGAGGCTGACAACTCCCAGGGTCTATAGTCGGCAGACTGGGGACCCAGGCGTGGTGTCCTAAGATTGAGAAACTCAAGACCCAGGAAGAGCTGACATTTCAGCTGGAGTCTGGAGGCAGGAGAAAAAAAAATGTACCCAGGAACTCAAGCCGAATTGAAGTTGTTTGTGATTTGGAGCTGCCTTCCCCTGAGCTCCCTCATCAGGACGTCCTTTTCATTCTGTCATCACATTTTCTTCAGAACCTCAGTGCAACTCCAGTAAAAACTCTAGGAGGGGGTTGTGAGTGTGTATGTGTGTGTAAATGACCAACGGATTGTAAAAATGTGTTAATACCACGTTCTAACCAACTGAGCTAACCAGCCACAGTTGATTGTAAAATTTACACGGAAATGCAGAGATGGATCTAAAGAAGGTGGAAGTGGGAGGACCTTTCTTCCCAGACTCCAAGGCTTGCTGTAAGGCTGCCGTAGTTTAGACGGTACAGTGTGTATCAGTGTGAACACAGATGGGGAGATGAGTGGAATAGAAGAGTGAGTTTTTGAAGTAGACCCACATGAAAGCAGCCATTTGAATTTCAGCAAAAGTGCCAATGCAGCTAAATAAGTGGTGCCTGGCCAAGTTACTATCCAATTAAAAAAAATGAGTCTTGACTCCTACCTCATGCCATATGGAAGAGTCAACTTCAGATGGGTCACTGATTTAAATGTAAAAAGTACAGCAATAAGGTTTCTATAAGAAAGCACATATTCATCACCTGGGATGAACAGAGGTTTCTTTTTTGTTGGTTTTTTTTTGTCTTTTTTTTTTTTCTTGTTTTTTTGTTTTGTTTTTTTGAGTTGGAGTCTCACTCTGTCACCCAGACTGGAGTGCAGTGGCTGCTCCCACTGTAGCCTCGACCTGCTGGACTCCGGCAATCCTTCCGCCTCTGCCTTCCAAGTAGCTGGAACTACAGGTGCGTGCTACCATGCCTGGCTAATTTTTTTGACTTGTTGTAGAGATGAGTTCTCACCAAGTTGCCCAGGCGGGTCTCGAACCCGCGGGCTCAGGCAATCCACTCACCTCAGCCTCCCAAAGCACTGGGATTACAGGCTGAGCCACCGAACCCGGCTGAGCAGAGGTTTCTTAAACAGGATAATACGATTATAAAGGAAAATAGATTCCTTAGATTACATCCAAATAAAGAACTTCATCCAAGGATACCATGAAGAGAGTGGGAAGACAAGCCACAGAATGGTAGAAGACTTTTTTTTTTTTGGTAGAGATGGGGTCTCCTTATGTTGACTAGGCTGGTCTCTAACTTCTGGGCTCAAGCAGTCCTCCTGCCTTGGCCTCCCAAAGTGCTGGGATTACAACTGTGAGCCACTGTGCCAGGCTAGATCTTTGCAATCCATATAACTGCCAGAGTACTTATATCCAGAATATATGAAGAAGTCTGATGGCCAAATGCTACCCTTTGCCTGTTTTTGCAAATAATGCTGTTGGAGTATACCCATGCCGCTTGTTTACATATAGTCTGTCGCTACTTTGCTGCCACAAGGGCAAAGTTGAATAGTCCTCTCAGAGACCACAAAACTGAAACTGTCTACTACTTGGCTCTTTTCAGAAAAAAATTTGCCAATCCCTGCAATGAATGGTTAAGAAAAAGACAGACAACCCAATAAAAAATGGACAAGGGACAGTCCTTTCACACAAGAAGATACTAGATGACCAATAAACATACAGAGGTGTTCGAGGTTATTTACTCATCCAGGAAATACAGATTAAATGGTTAATGGATAACCAGAAAGACTAGAATGAGAAATAAAATATCAGTTGTAGAGGATGTGGAGTTACTGGAACATCTGATGCTGCTGGGCAGGGGAAGCTTGGTATAATCATTTTGGGAAACAGCTTGACAGTGTCTACTAAAGCTGACTGTGTGCATACCTTATAACTCAGTAGTTCAGCTCCCAGATACCTAACCCAAAGAAACACACACATACGTTCTTCATAATGTACAAGAACACTTCCAGCTGCACCAAACGGGAAGCAAGCCAGTGCCCATCCCTGTCACCGCCCCGGCAGCATGGAGGCTCTCACGGCTGTGGGGCTGGGTGGAGGAAGCCTGACATGGAAGCACACACGGTGAAGTGGTAACATGGTCAGATGTCAGGATAGCGGTTACCCTTGCGGTGGGAGAGGGTCGCGACTGGAAGACATGGGGGGCTTTCAGGGTGCTGAAATGTTGATATGGATGTTTTTACTTTGTAAAAGTTAATCAGGCTCTGTTCTACTTTGGACACTTTTTTCTATACGGGTTTTGTAGTTTAGCTTGAAGTTTGCATAAACGAGTATATGCATGTGCATGTGTGCATGCATATGCACACATGAACCCTCACCCTCTCTCACCTCCATGATTGCAGTGGTCTCCTCTCCCCTGCTGCCCTTCACCCCCAACCACATCCAGCGTCCACCAGTAGCCACAGGGAACCCCTTAAAATCTGTCTGATCCTGTTCCGCCTGTGATCAAACCTGCACGGTTTCCCCCACACGCGCGGAGACCCAAATCTTCCCCACTTACAGCCGCATTTTCAGAGAAAGCACTGTCTTCCATGTCCCTGTGTCCTCTACTTATCTGATACTTAATTTACCCAGTTCCAGTGACAAGTACCCTTCAGGAAAATGGTAGTTTTGGGAACACACCCCGCTGGCTCTTGGTGAATGTGCAGCCCACCTGATGGGATGAGATGCCTGTGCACACCACATGAGCTTCCAACTCTGGGAGTTCATTCTCTGCCTTACTTTCACCAGTGCATGTGACACCTCTGACCTAACATATGTTTGACCCAGTGGTCGTTCCTGTGCCCCCGGCCCCCTGTATCACAAGCTAAACTCTCAGGGACTTTGCTTACTGCTGCAGCCCCAGCACCTAGAACAGGGCCTGGCACACAGTAGGTTCTCTCCACATGCTTGTTAAATGCAGAGATGAGTGACTCCCGAGTGACTCCCTGTGGTCCCTGACTCAGTGTCCTACCCATAGGAAGCACCGGCCAGATGTTTGTTGAGTGACTCTCCTAGTCTACTTGCTTTTAGTCAACAGACATTTGTTTCTTACAGTGCTGGAGCCTGGGAACTCCAAGATTGAGGAACTGGGAGGTTCGGTGCCTGACAGGGCCCTGCCTTGTGTTTCACAGATGGCATCTTCTTGCAGTATCCTCCCATGGTGGAGGGGGCAAGGCAGCTCTCTGGGGCCTCATTTATAAGGGCACTCATCCTGTTCTTGAGGGCCCCACCCCCTGACCTCATCATCTCTCAAAGGCCCTACCTCTTAACACCCATCTTGGGGGTAGGATTCAATATTATGAGTGTTAGGGGCACACTAGCATTCTTACCACAGCAGTGATGGAATGCGTGAGCGATAGAATTCTTCTGAGTAAATGAATGAACCGTGGGAAGATGGGTGGATGGATGGATGGATGGATGGATGGATGGATGGATGGGTGGATTTCCTACTCCATGCCCTACTTCCATTATTTCAGCAAGCACCTGTCTTTTAGAACTCAGGCCTCTCCTCCTTTTCTAGCCAAGAAGCATGGGTTTCTGTTGCTTCTTGTTGGTTTCTCATCAGTGTCTCTCGTGAGCTGCAGAGTTGCTCTGTGAGGTCAGCAAGACTGTTAGCCCGTTCTCTGGAGGAGACTGTGGCTGGGAGAGGAGGAGTGACTTGCTCAAGTCGCCTGGCCACCAGCCGAACGCCGTGCTCATGACCCTCTCTGTGGTGCTCCCCGTGGTGCTGCTGAAAACAGCTGCGCCCAGGAGGTGGTATGCAGAGTGTTGACTCCCCTCTGCCTTTTAGGGTCACTGGAAGCAAAAAGTCTACCAAGAGGACCAAGTCCATCAATGGCTCTCTCTACATCTTCAGGGGCCGAATCAACACTGAGGTCATGGAGGTGGAGAATGTGGAAGATGGGACAGGTAGGCCCGACACCAGCCCTGCCCTAACCCAGCCCACCTGCTCCCTGGCATGCTCTCTGCTTCATTTAAATATATATATTTTTTCTTTTTATTTATTTATTTTTAAATTATTTCTTCTTCTATGGTAAAATGTAGCCTACCTACAGAAAATGGCTAGACCATGGACACATGGAGTGAATGTCTGGGTAGTTAGCATTCAAGTTAAGAAATAAAACACTGTACTTCAAACCCCTCCCCTCCTTCCCCCTAGAAGTAATCACCATCTGAATTTTGCAGTGATCATTTTGTCTTGCTTTTTAAAAATATTTTTATCTTGTAAGTGTTCATGACTAAACATTTTAATTACAATTTGTCTTCAAACCTTATATAAATGGCTATATGATTGAATATGTATAAATGGCTCTAAATATAAATATGGGTATATATAGCATTATACACACACACACACACACACACACATACACGTAGATGGTCATAAGATACGACCTCCGTTCTTTGACCTCTTGCTCCTGTCACTCGACACCGTGTTGTCACAGTGTGTCTGTGTTTCCATCACTGTTGAGTGTTCTGCTGTATGAATCATCCACAGTCTGTTGCTTGGATGATGGGCATGGGGGTTGTCTCCATCTTTCACAGTCACAGACAGTGGCGCGGTGTGCATTCTCATGAGTGTCTCCTAGTCCATGTGCCTTTGAGCTTGTGTGGGGCAGGAGTTCTTACTTGGGTCAGAGTTACAGACCCCCTTTCAGGCTGTCTCCTGAAACCCTCCTCAGATTCGGGGTACAGCCAGCCTCAGCTTCCCTAGATGATGCCACCCTGTTTTCCAGCCATTCTGCCAGCAATGGGTGGGGGTCCATATCCAATGTGGGTCGTGAGGCTGCACTGAAGTTTTAAGTCACCCAGTGCCTGGGTGAGACGGGGAGAAGGCCAAGAGGCATTCCTGGGCTCTGGGCAGCTTCTCCTGGAGAGTCACTGTAATTGTGCCCAGGAGCAAGGGCCTGAAGCCCTCTGTAATCGAGAGGGTGGCAGGGGTTTTTATTTGCAGAAGGCTATCCTTGCCTACTGGACAACAACCAGGAGAGGGGTGAACTTTTGAAGGGCTGAATGTCCAGGTCCCCGATCCTGACCCTGAGATAGCCCTGCCTTGCTGTACTGGAATGGCAAGGATTGGTCCCAAGACCTCACTTGCCTGCATGGGGTGGGAGGTACTGGGGGTCGCATGGTGACTCTGTGCTGAGCCCCTTTGCTTCCTGCCCCACCAGCGGATTATCATAGCAATGGCTACACCGTCACCAATGGCTGGAAGATTCACAACACAGCCAAGAACAAGTGGTTTGTCTGTATGGCCAAGACGGCGGAGGAGAAGCAGAAGTGGCTGGATGCCATCATCCGTGAGCGGGAGCAGCGTGAAAGTGAGCAGCAGCTCAGGAGGCTTCCCTGGGGCCCCCGGGCTGTGCACAGCTTCTGCCGAATGGGGACTGTGCCTGGGGAGGGGGCACAGGGTCCTTTCTAGAAGGGTCAGAGCCACAAGAAGGTCTCACATGGGGCGGGGAGCTTGGGGACTGTTTCAGCCTGGTCGTATCTCCGAGATCACCCACTCAGATGGTGAAACTGAGGCCTGATAGACGGGACCTGCCCAGGGTCTTTACCCTGGGGAGTTGGAACCCAAGATGCCCTATGCCTGCTCTCAAGGTTTTCTTTGTTTGACATTCACTGAATCGAAATCTGGGAGGAGGGTCTTTTGAGGCTGCCAGTGTCCTTGGTCAAGAGTCCCTCTGGGCACAGGCACCCTGAGGCAGTTGTCATGAGGAAGCACAGGGACTGGGTGTGGCAGGTGGGTGGGGCTGGGGGTGGGCATAGGCAGTTGTGCAGAGACCCCCAGGCTGGAGGGAGGGACACCTTGGCCTGTTTGGGGACAAGTTACTTCAGCTTCCCAGATCTCAGTGATCTCATCTGATAAATGGGGTCAGAGGCTTGTAATGCTGCTGGAGGCCTTTGGTTTGGCTGTATTTGGAAATCTGATCCATGACCCTAAAGCCCCCCCCCCACCTCCCAGTATTACAGAGGCAGAAACGGGGCCTCTGTTTCCTCCAAATGTATATCCTGTATATGCCGCCTGCATATGTCATAGACACACACCTGCGATGTCTAATCAGAACTTGTAATTTCCACCCTGTCTTCTGTCCCAGACCTGCTCTTCTGCCCCTCGACTTCTGCATATCTGTCAGTGGTGCCACCCTTCGCCCCAGAGCTCAGAGTTACACTCTTGGAGTCATCCCCGGCCTCCCTGAACCCCCGCTTCCCAAGTTCAGTAGGTCCACAGGTCCCTTGAATTCTGCGTTTCACCCGTATGCCAGACCCTGCCTCCCCTCTCCCCATTTCCACCAAGACAAATCCCCACCATCTCTTGGGAGCCAGGGCCGAGACCCACTGATCTTTCTCTAGAGAAACTAGACATCTGGAGTCTTAGAGGATATTTCCTGGTGTTAAGTGTTTCATCAGAATTTATCCAAATGCCTTTAGGCCGAGTAATCTGGGACCCTGACTGGGCAAGATTTTGACCTCTGAAACTCATCAGGGCTGAGCTTGTGTGGTCACGATTGAGGAGTGGCCCAGCCTGAGTGGGGCTGATCAGTGTCTTTGATCAGAATGGAGGGCTGTGGTCTGCTCTGGGCACATGTGATCACCGGTGGACACGTAGCCTGAGTGGGTCCTGGTTGTTAGAACTGGGTGTTGTCCAAATCCCGACCTCAGGCTGGCTTCGTGGGGTGGTGCTTGCTGTGGTCAGTAACACATACCTGAACCTGAACTTCTTGGGTCTGAATCCTGGTTCCACCACTTCCAGTTGCCTAACCTTGGGCGAGCACCTCACTTCCTTGGGCCTCAGTTTCTTCATCTGTAAAATGGGCATACTCACTGCACCTTATTATCATAGGCTTCTTGTGAGGAGTACTCGGCATAGTGCCCTCACTCTTGTTATTTGTCATTGTCACTGTCAGGATTGGAGAAAAATGTGGGCAGAGATTAGGGCCAGGGTCCTGGGTACATTGTCTGGAGGAATGGCCAGACTTTGGTCACTGGGCTGGAATGAAGATCCCACCAGGTTTTCTGATAACCTCTGGCCTTGGAAACCCACCCTTCGCTTGGGGAGGCAACCTGGGAAAGGGACTAAGGACATCGCTCTGGAGCTTGACTCCTGGGCAAAAGGCACAGCTCTTGGTTCTTCCAGGACTTCACCTCTCTGGGTCTCAGCTTTCCCATCTGTAAGGTGGTAGGTTTGAGGAGTCGGGGGCAGATGCCTAGAGCAGTGACCCAGTCGGTCTCCAGCTGTCTGCTGGCGTGTTGGGGGTGGTGAGGGGGAGGGGTGGGGGCAGGCTGGCTCTCGGGGGCCTGGCCCGAGCCCTGTTGACCATGCTCTGCATAGGCCTGAAGCTGGGCATGGAGCGCGATGCGTACGTGATGATTGCAGAGAAGGGTGAGAAGCTCTACCACATGATGATGAACAAGAAGGTGAACCTGATCAAGGACCGCCGGAGAAAGCTGAGCACCGTCCCCAAGTGCTTCCTCGGCAAGTGAGTGCCTGCCCTGGATCCCTGGGCTCTTGGCTGGAGGTGGGCAGACCATCCGCATCCAGCCAGGCAGGCCAGCCCCTCCCAGCTCTGCCCCTTCCCCTAGAAGTCCACAGGCAGAACTCCAGAAGGCACCGCTCCTTAGGAATGGCCCTCGAGTCCAGGAAGCCCGTGGGTCCCCAGGCCAGGCCTTCCAGCCCTCAGCCAGCATGTATTCCTGTGGTGACCTGGTACACACATCCGCGTCATATGTGCTTGAAGCTGAGGTTTCTTAAAACTGTACTCGATACACTCTGAAAATGTTTCTCTTCTTTCTATTCAAGCTGCTTTTCATTCATTTCAAAATTAATACCGGCGTACCTTATTTCTACAGTGACATTGGTTTTATAAAGCACTAATGGGTTGCCCGCCGTGGTTTGACAGTTGTTACTGTAGCACTCGGGAAAAGAGAAGCCACTAGCATATTTCAAGCAGAGAGGTATTTACTCAAGGAATTGATGACAAAGGTGTTGGAAGGACTGCGAGAACAAAGGTGCGCCAACTGCCCTGACGCACCGGGTTCTTAAACAGAAATGTGTCTCACAGCCCAGGGACTGTAAGTCTGAGCTCAGGGTGTCAGCAGGGTGGGTGTCCTGAGTTACACGTGAGGGAGAGGAGAGGCTCCTGGAAGCTGTTCCATGCCTAGAGCCTCTGTGTTCTCTGGTTAGGAAATGCAGCCTCCATTTTGTAACCGAGGACCAAGGGAGTCAGAACACACATGTGACAGGCTGACTCTCTCTTTTTTTCCCCGAAGTTGGGTCTCCATCACAGCTTCCTGCAGTCTTGACTTCTGGGCAAGGGTGATCCTTTTGCCTCAGCCTCCCAAATAGTTGACAATACAGGTTCACACCACTATGACTGGCTAATTTTTAAATTTCTTGTAGAGATGAAGTCTCACTGTGTTGCCTGGGCTGGTCTGGAACTCCTGGGCTTACGCTGCCTTCCCTCCTTGGCCTCCCAAACTGCTGGGATTACAGGCGTGAGCCACCGTGCCTGGCCAGGCTGGCTCTTAAACTGAGGTCTCCTGGTGTTAAATCTCACTCACGTGGGGGAGGGGCTGGGAATGGGAGCAGCAGGAGAAATCCAGTCCTAGTAAAATGGCCAGGCTGTTTTGAGGCCCTATGGTGTGCTGAACACAGAGATTGGGTGCGTTCTGGATAATTGTGAAGGCAAAAGTACTTGCTGCTGGCATGGGCAAAATAAAGGAAATTCGGGACTGTGGGTTGCCGAAAGTCTGGAGTTGCCACTTGGAGAAGAGGAAGAAGATGGGAGGAGGAGCGGGTTTTGGGGGCGGGAGGGAGTTCATGGGTACAGCTGGGAATGGGATCCATTGGAGCCGTGAGACACCCACCCAAGCGGAAATGTTGGTGTGTTGGCTGGATGCAAAATCTTGACTTGGGGAGAAAAGTCTGGATTGGAGGCCTGTGTGCAGGAGATGGCAGGAAGGTGGTCTTTAAAGCCAAGTGTGGAGAGACGAGGCAGACCCGGGTCCTGGGGCCCAGCGACCACGTTTGGAGGAGGCAGGAGCAAAGGATCTGAGCTGCTGGAGAGAAGGATGTGGCGGAGCGGGCGGAAGGGGCCGGGCCTGGCGTTGGGCACGTGGGGGTTGAAAGGCAGACAGACACGCAGTGTCTGATGCAGATGTTAGGCAGGTGCTGGGGACTGAGCGTGGACTCTGGGAGCGGCTCTGATGGTGGTGACCAGAGGCTTGTGGGTGAGGGGCAGCAGGCAGGAAGTCTCGGGGTGGCAGGTGCCATGGACATGGGCACCCTGTTGCCCTCGAGGTCAGCAGCTCCAGTTCTGAGCTCCTGGAGGGTCTGTGGGCAGGAGAGAGTTCGGGCCGGAGGAGGTGTGGCAGGGTGACCACCGGTGCCAGTCAGCTGGTCCCTAATCCTGGCGGAGGAGGCTTTTCTCTCTGGAGGACCTCTTCCGGGCCCCCTGGACTGGAGAACCTTCCTGCCTCCTGCCAAACGGCTTAGTCCAGCCGGATGGGACAACCTGCCTGTGGTTAGGCGTCGGGGGAGTTTTCCGCCTCCTCAGGAAGGATTAGGGGCGATTTCTTTTGCTGCCATTTGACACGGGGCCAGGATTGCAGCTTGTTTTGTAACTGCGGACCCGTGAGGACCAGACCTCCCGCTGAAGAAGTTCTAAGGGACTCTTCTGCATGGCTCGCTCCGCACCCGGCCCCGTGACTTCAGCTCCTCCTTCCCTGCCAGGCCCAGCTATGGTGGCTTCTCCTCCAGGACGCGTCCCTGGTCCCTTCGGGTGGAAGAACGTGGGAGCGCAGAGATGTATTTATCAAGTCCTTTGCACCGCACACAATAAATACCATGAGTTAGGTCACTGCTATCATCCCCATTTTAGGGTGGGGAAACTGAGGCATGGGGGTGCAGGTTCTGCACAAGATCACAAAACCACAGTGGGGCGTAGGATTAGAACCCAGGACACGGGGTGGCTCTGGGCCTGAGCTCTCTCCCATGTGCTCTGCTGCGTTTATTGACTTTTTTCTCTCTTCTGCATAGCTTGTTTTCCCTTGATGGTTACTGTCTCCACATCTGTCCCTGCTGCTGGGCAGGAAACTCAGTGAATCTGGTGTCTGGTTTATTTTTGTAACCTTCAAGGGTGGGGCTTTGGGTCAGACTTGGGCTCAAGTCCCAGGCCCCCTACTTTCCAGCTGTGACTTTGGGGCAAACCTTAACCTCTCTGAGCCTCAGTGAAGGATCAGGAAAAGAGAGATGATAAAATGGCCCTGTAGGACTGTTGGAGGGTCCGGTGAGATCATGCGTGTGGTATGCTTGGAGGTGTGTGCCTGGCTACGTGGCACATCATGTGGGTATGTGCGTGAGAAGGGGCCTATTTCTGCCCTTCTTGGGGAAAAACTAATAAATGTCGCATTCTTTTTTTTTTTTTTTTTTTTTTTTT